TATTTTACCGGGAAGTAGGCACAAAAGAGATGTTTACAACATTGTGCTTACAGTCAACATACTGTGACTCTTGATAGGATTTACAAAAAGTTCATGTTAAACTGAACAAAGTAACATATTGGGGCATGTTACATAAACATAAAACAATGCATGTATTCAAATTACACGGATATATCCCATACCTCCACAAAGTTGGTGTGCTTGGCATCCCTGACCGTCACCACAGCATGCACTTCCTCAATCAACTTCTGTTTCTCATCATCATCAAACTGCATGTACCATTTGGCCAGTCGTGTTTTCCCTGCTCGGTTCTGGATGAGGATGAAGCGGATCTGTGTGATACAATTGAGAGAAAGAAAAAAAACACAAAATGACAAAATGAGATTAGAACAGAAAGAAACGACTGCAATATGTGTCCAAAGTCTACGTGATTTGAGACAACTGATAAATCATCACGCACACCAATTCATTATTTGTTTCAAACACATCACATGAATTACATATAAGTATGTGTAAGGGTAAAACAGGGAAACGTATAACATAATCTTTTAAACATTATCGTTAGGAAATATATCTTACAAAATGAGGGAAGAAGAATTGTAAAAAAGGTGCGATGAAGCAAGATCAATTTCCATATTTACAGTTAAGACTATAATTAATAAAGAGTGAACCCTCTTTGGCAAATGATTTGTGTTGTTGACACCAGCACATTCCTAGGTCTATTCGTCTAATTTTACTTTGTTGGCTATTGGCTGTCCCACAGCTTAACGATGGAAGATTGTTTTGCAATAGCTATTTCTGAACGTCTTTCAGTAATTATATGTCGTTTAAGTATCGTTAGCTAGATACATACCTGTACCGTTAGCCTTAGCTAAAGTGCAGCTAAACCACACCCATTTATTTTGACAGCTTGCTTGTGAAGGAGACAAAGTTAAAAATGTTTGGCAGAAGACATCCTTTAGCTAAGCAGTAGTCGATATCTGAGATTAAACAGTGTGACTTCAGATCTGTGGCCTTCAGCCTGCTGAGGTAAGCTAACGTTTTTTCCTGGCTGAATGAAGAGGTTATCTAGCAAACTCTCAAATGCTAGCAAGCTAGCAATCATACGATACTATTTTGGAAAGAAAACAGCGCAGCTTTCAATTTTGAGATACTTACCATTGTCGGTTCCTAAATATGGTCCCAGGAGGCGACACAATAGCGCGTATCTAAACAATTACGATACGATTTTACATAAATACATCAGTAAATTATTTGACCGCTCTTCCAGCTATCTTCCCGAGCTAAACGGAAGTGCAAAAGGCAAAGTTGTGTTGCATGATGGGCGATGTAGTTTTTATCGCAACATTTAAAGCCAATAGTTCGTTCCATGGAACTACAAGAACCAGCGTCCCTTTCACTTTGTCACTTGTTGAGACGTACATCAGATCACATGACAAGAAAAGGGCCACTGCTGTTATTTTATGTAGCAGATACATGATGTCTAATCACACATTGATTATGGGATAATGATTAAAAACATATGGGTGACTCTTGAAACTAAAAGGTGTTGTTCAAATTCAATATCTAAACGTTTTTTCCGTTAATTACTTTTAGAATTGAAGACGTTATGTTTGATTTAAGCAACTTTGCTATCTTCGCTTTTGCCTCGCTGCTATCCATTGTTGCCTGATATTACATACTTTTACATTCACTGTGATTAGACTAATTACCCTTTGTGTGTCATAGTCTCACTACCATGGCCTATTATAAACGACAATTACAGTAGAGCACTTAGTCTAAAGCATGCTTACTGTAAAGCTGTTTAACTGTACACAGGTCATTTAAAAATACAATAAAATGTCTAAACAGGGATTTTCCTTGAGTTTAAGTATTTTTACAGTGTTGTATTGCTACTTTTCACTTAAAACAATCGACACAACTGCCTACTGTATGGTGTAAATGTCTTAACAAATATTGACTTGTGTATGCATGCATACATCCCTTTAGTACATTGTTTACCCTCAACAATACACTTATGTACTGCCATTATATTGTTGTCCATGTCACTGTGAACTGTGTCCTCACCCATATTCTACAATTAATTTGTTAAGAATGCCTTTTATGATTTGTATGTGGAATTCACAAGCGTCTCAGCAGAGGGAATAGTCAAATAAAAAACCTCCCTCACCAGCTGCAACATTGAAGTGATGAACACATTATTGGATCAATCATTTTAAATGAATTGGCCATTGTGTGGAATCATTACTTTTACCTTTTGTAATTATATTTTCATTACAATGCTTTCGTGCAGGACTGTTAGAGAATGTCTACACTGTGGTAATATTTAGGAAAATATCAGAATATATGGTACACCACTTTAATAGAGGAATGTGAGTTTATTTCAAATGCAATTCAGTCAAACCATGTTTATCAATTGGACAACTTTGGGAAATGAGCTGTTTTTCCGTTTTGTGGTGTGTGCTTGCATGTTCCTGTTTCAGCTGCCAGAGGGGAGTAGACTTGGTTTTGAAGAGGTGGTGGGCAGGGTAAGCTGGGTGGTATTGGAGGCCCTGCCCCGACATCAAGCCTAGTAAATGTGTATGCTACCACATTTGTGACACACCTCAGAATAACTTTTAAAAACAATACAGAATGAAAAAAGTTGTTCTACCGGTTATATTTCCACCCTCTTGAGCTTACATCATTTGTGGCAGTTGTTTTCTGCAGAGTCAGGACTCAGAGTTTTGTTTACTGGTCTGTTTGGGCAGCCTTTCACCGCAGAACATTGCCCAGACAGCTTGGACAGCTTGCCTCTCTGAACGTTTTGGGCGTTAAGGGAGTCAGAGGGGGATGGGGGGACTGTGATTGTCAGGGATTGCACAACTGTGAGTGAAGGAATGTGCTTGCCCTTGGGACCCAGAAATATTCCAGCCCCAAATACAAAGACAGTTTTCCAGACAAATACATAAAATATAAGGAAAAATCAACAAACCCATAAATGAAGAGCGTTTCTACAATATGTGTTGGTGTGTACAAGGTAATAACAGCACAACAAATGGTGTTTTAATTAAATATGTCAAATTACCTTACATATCATAATTGAATAGCTACATTAGCAAAAGTGTTAAGATAGTGTCCAGCCCATGAACAACATTGGTAGGAGAGAGGGATTATTCAAAGGAAACTTTGACCCCTACTAATCTTACTGTGTGTTACTGGAGTCATGTAAATATTGCTGAGAACACATTGACTATTGTGATTGGACAGAAGCATGTGGACTTTTTCAAATGGAGGGCAGTGTACCTTGAACCCTGCCTGACTGTGTATTTAATGGTGGGTCACATTTAAAGCGGTCAAAGCACTCATAGTGCCTTTCAATATCATTTTACATATTATGTTTTATTAATAGAACTTGCAAATAAGTTACTTATGTCTTGTTTTTAATCAACAGCCCAGGAAGTTGAATGTTGCAAAATGTTGTACTTTGACTGTTAATAAGAGGGCAAGACTCTAACATGCTATCTGTGTGTCATATTCAAAACAAAATCAACAAATTGTCTTTACAGAAGTATTTGTTTTCATACCCGGCAGAGTTAAGATAGCCAGACACTATTGCATGTTTGAGGAAGGAATATGTGGGAGATTCCCAAAGCAAAACACCAAGCATTTGTTTGAACTTTTAGGACAGGCAGTTTGTTTTGTAAAACATTGCAGACACTCCAAGTATGTCTTTCTAAGGAAAAATAAATCTTCCATAGGAACTGAAATGTTTTATTATGTCTTGGCTGAAATCATCAAAGGAAAGGGTTATCTACGTGAGTCCTTCGCCAAGAAGATGACTCTGGATAATTAAGACTAACCTTCAAGATGATAGATTTTCCTTAAGTGAGGAATTCACACATTTTTACTTGTTAGCCACATGGCATTAAAATCTGTAAAAGGGTGACAAAGGGACAATAGGTTCAGTCATGAGACAAGGGGCCAAGAGGCCAAATAGACTAAAATAAAGTAAATGAATTACATTTATTGTGACATGAAGACCTGTAGCTCGGAAATAATGTCGCAATACCATATTCTAAGAAGAAGAGTTTGATATCAATGATGTAGCAGCAAATAATATAAGTATATGTAGCCAATGTATTGTCTATCAATCTGACAAAGGTAAAGGCTATGATACAAAACAATCAACAAAGAGAAGACATGTTTAAGAAAAGTATAGCTTTCGGAAATGTAATGAAAGTATAGTGTAATATCATGAAAGTACTCATGTTGAAGTACCTTAAAAACTTCTATTTACATGTTTGATAATTCTTTAAAGAAGCGTGTTTGTGTGTGGTATGTTATGTTGGAGCCATTATATTATAGGAGGGCATTATTGTTAATTCATGTGTCCCCTGATCATTGAGTGACCAAAAAGTAAAGAGAACAAGTAATATGCAGAGGTGGAAGAAGAAAAATAATCTGTTAGAAGTAAAATTCCTGCATTCAAAATTGTTGCAGAATTGGCGATTTCAGGCACCATATATTTTTCCATTATTATTTAAAAATGATGGTGCATTCATGTGTTCATCAATGTAATGTTGCACTTTGTAAAGGTGGGATTTATTTTAATTTCTTGATACACTACTGGGTAGCTTAACCTATAATAATATAACATAATGTGTGTCGATTTATATTTGTTATTAATAACCTAAATCTGCAAAATAACTATTAGGTAAATATGTAAAATACATGTAGTGGAGTAAAATTACAAAGTAGCAAATTAATGAAAACATATTTCATGTTAAATTCCTATCTGTCCTTTATATTTAATCCATTCTAAGTCTGTGTTGTAATTGTGTCCATGAACCGCTGGGCGAGTCTCTCTCTCTCTCTCTCTCTCTCTCTCTCTCTCTCTCTCTCTCTCTCTCTCTCTCTCTCTCTCTCTCTCTCTCTCTCTCTCTCTCTCTCTCTCTCTCTCTCTCTCTCTCTCTCTCTCTCTCTCTCTCTCTCTCTCTCTCTCTCTCTCTCTCTCTCTCTGGCGAATAGGAGGGGAGATGCTGGATTCGGGAAAAGGTCCGCCATTATTGGGAAGCTGAAAAAAATAGACTTATACACACTCACACACATTTAGCCTGTAAGGGGCTAAACCTACGAAAGGAAAATACAACGGTTTCGGACGAGCTGTTGTTCTCTGAAAAGCGGCGCTTTGAAAAAATGAAGGCAAAGCTCATCATCGCGTTTCATACGGACTCTTTATTTTTGACACAACAAAGGAAATAATAATTGGTCAAAACAACGTGGTGGTTGAAGCAAGAAGGAAAAGCGCTTTTACAACGCCTCCCCCTTTCCTCCTCGTTTCCAGCCGGGGTGAAAAGACTGGAGTTTGAACAGCATTTCTTTGCTTTTCCTGACGATAATTTAGTTGCTTTTTCTCCTCTTCAAAGACACACACAGATATGCATCTCGTTGTGAAAACTTCAGACTGATGGAAACGAGCACTTAATGTAGGAAGCAATGGACATATAGGCTGTTTATTTAAAACAACGGGCAATAATCGATGTCAGGGCTGTAGGGAAGTGTTTTTGTCTGTTTTTTTTAAGTCTTTCACCGGCTGTGAGTCGCAGAGAGAAAAGAAAGGAGTGGACGAGAGCTGGAGAGGAAAGCTATGGTATGTATGCTGCACACTATTCTCTCCTACCACTGCAAATAACACACGCGAATGGACAATTTCAAACAATGTTGAACATATATTTTTAAGGCGTTTACCCCCTGCCTTAATTGTAGCTTGTGTTACTTAGAAGTGCTGCGAAAAACAAGAAACTGGGAGTGAACCACAGTCCCCCTGAGGGCTGGTGGGATTTGAAGCCCTTAATAGTAATAATAATGATTATTCTAATGGCCGTGCATGGGTGTGTTAAATATAAAACCTGTTCTAATCTAAGCTAATGTTGCCCTTGTGCATGTATTAAAGGAAAGTGTGAACAGCAGAAGGGAGGTCATAAAATGGATCTTGTCCAAACATTAAAAATGTTTGTAGAACACCTGGAATGCATTGGTCTTGTCAGGCCTGGTGAAACAGCCCATGTATTCCATGAGTATAATGAATTTCAATTGGTAGAGGAGAAATGGGATGTTTGGGTTGGACTAGCTGCCAAGCAACTGTTTGATGCATCATGTTGGCTTATTCATTAATATTCTGCTCATATCCTGGTTGACACTTAAGAGTTACATTCATTTTGAATCAGGTTTTGTGAAGTTTGAGGTTGTATAATGCAGCTGCCTGTGCTTTTATTTGGCATTTTTAGTATAATGGTAGGCACAAACGGGTCCTAAATCAGATGTAGGTCATGGTATTACCTCTCAAACACACACCATGTTTGTCATTTGTGGTTATTTTCTCTCTTGTCAGATGTCCCACTAACTTTGCAAACATTAAAGCTGCATGTAGGGCTTCCTGGTGACACCGTTAAATAATGTGCTTATGCTCTGCTGGGAGGTAACTGCTCGGTTCCCGTTTAACTGGTGCCTATCTGGGACACATATGACTCAAATCTCCTTAAACAGGATATACAGTGTATGTGTAGTTGTTTTCCACCAACTAAATATCTCAGGTGAGGATATTTAACTTGACTATCAGAGTTCTTGATGTACCCCTCCATGCTGCAAGATAAGGTCCAAATAGATTGATAAAGGTAACCTGATGCAAACCACCAACACTACCATTTAATCAGTTATTGTGAAATAACGTGTCACCGGTATGTCACGCTTAATCTCACTGTTGCCCTGCCAGCCACTCCCTTTATGTCCTTCCACTAGTCTTTAGTACTTTGATTTCAAAAGTGATCTACCTGCCTGTGGAATAATGATTTTAGTTTGATTTTTAAAGACTTTAGAAAGTGAGATAAGTAGAGAAATGCCTGCAGGTTTGTGATGTGGCCTTTACACAGAGGTGTGCAGCAGCGCTGGGGCCTGCAGTGCTATGTCACTGCCAGATACCGGGACATTTTCAAAACACGAACTGTTATTAGATAATGGATATATGGCGTTATCTTGTGGATTTTCGGTCCTTTCCGAGCAAATATGACTCATAACCCTGTAAAACAATAATAATGCACTTTCCTTTGAAAGGTTTTTGTTCGGTTTTTCTGGATTTTCCCTTTTAATGAGGGATTTTAGAAAGAACAGTTATGCCCTGCTTAAGGGCACCTTGCCAGTGCTCTGGAGGTGAAATGTCACCTCTGCCAGTCTGTATTCCACACTTTCCTCTGGTTCCCAAACAAAGTCCCTTCAGACTGACCTATTGCCACCCTCTGGCTGTTCTTTGACTGACTGCTTTTTGATGAGTTTCTCTCTCTTTGATCCTAATCAACCTTATTGGGAAGACCGTGTTATGCAGAAAGTAACCAGTAGCCACTTTACTTGGCAAACAGTCTCTTTGCTCTCAGGTAAATGCATTAGCAGCTGTCAGCACTTCTGTTCTCTACCTGATTGGGCCCTTTGCAGTGCAGTCACACCTCTCCAGAAAGCTACTTTTCCCCCTAATAGCTGTGCCATTTGCCCAGGCAGCAGGCTAGCTACCAACATGCCCACTCACCCCCGTCTGCCTGCCGATCGTGTCGTGAGTCCCTGGACTAGAACATGTTCCTGGGATTAGAGGAGGGCAGGCTTTGTTTGTCAGGATGTGGGCCAGAGATGCGGATACATCCTTTGATGAGGGCATTGGAAGTGAGATTCTGTCCCGTATTATGTGGGCAGAAAATCACAGGGTTTCGACATGCTTTGTAACAGAAACACTTTAGGAAAATCTACTCCTTTATATCAAGCCTAATTCTAATAGTCCTCACTTGACTTTTTCAACATCTGACCATTAACCACAAGAGTATGGCAACCAGAAAGTAAAGAGGCCTTCATTGCTGTAAATCTGTAATGCAAGCGGTGAGTTATTTTGATAAGTAAGGATGTGTTTCTGGCTTGTAATATCAGTCAATTTGAAAATGTTACCATAACCAAATTATTTCTATGTCAACCCAGGCTTTGATTTCCACAAAACTACTGTGCCGCTGAATGAAACAGCGGCCTCTGACTGGCTCATTTGCCAATTTCACATCTATCATACCTGTCAATGCAGGGTGACTCCACATGCGACGGACAGAACATTTCCCTGCTAATCTGTGAAGGTGCCATTCACTAAATGTCTTCTTTCTCTTGTATTACAGGAGAGGTTTGCTTATGAGTCAGTGTAAGCCTGTGTTTGATGGAGAAAGAAGCTAATTATAGCGGGCAGCTTTGGAGTTTGGTGGAGCAGATTACAGTCACTCTCCTCTCAATGGCTGCCTTGTTCTAGTGGCCGATTATTAGGCAGAGAGAAGTGCATTCTGGGATGATTGTATCTGAATTTCCATTAGAAAGTGTGCCTGCCTAAGTTGAACTGAGGTTCTCTTCTCTCCCCATTGCTTCAGCTCCCATGCTCGTTGCAGATGGCTCAGCTTGATATAGAGGCCTCTGTACTGTCCCTATTCTTTTTTAGAGCCAGTTGAACTCCAAACCCTGAATGGCGAATTATGTATGAGGGAACTGACCCCAAATCAACAATGGTGGTTGTGCCTAGCTTTAATTTGAGGTAAAATAATTATTCAAAACTAAAATCACTAGTATTGCTATACATAAGCCCTTTTACAACAAATGGCTCACCCAAGAAAAGTTTGAAAGTAATTTAATTCCAATGAATCAGTAATGAAGATGCATTTGCTCTTTATGCCAAGCCTACCCTGTTATGGTATTGCTTTTACAATACAAATGCATTATTAATGGATAATGTTAGTGGAAAGTAAGGGCTTTAGATATGATTAATGTTTTAAATGGTCGCCGTAAGGCTCTGTTGAGATACTTTTAACTAGCCTTCATATTTCTTCCCTAAGAGAAAAAAAGACTGTTTGAAGCATGGTGACCATGGAGATGAAGTACCAGGATGTAAGCCACAGAGGAATGGTGACCTCTGGACGTGAGCGGCCCTGCTCTGCTTTTTCAGATACAATTACACAACAGAGGGACAAGGCTATGGTAATTTGGAAGAGCTGTGGAGAAGAAACATGAGGGGAGAAATAGGAACAGCGAGAGAGTGACACAACAAAGTAGGTAGTCAGTTAGTGGAGAAAAACAGCTACAAGAATGAGGGAGTAAAGTAAAACGCAAGCTGCCAGTTTCTGCTTCAGGCCGTGTTCCTGGTATGTGCCCTTTCAGCTTTTGTGCTCAAAGATCAACCAATCAATGACAGTCATAAGTAACCCTGCTGCTTGGCTATTGGCCACAGCTGAATTCCATGACTCGGCATGTCTGTAGATAAGATGTTATGATTGAGTCACTGCCAATGAAATGAGCCCACTGCCTGGAGTTCAATAGGTTGGACCTCTGCTGCTGTAATCAGTTGCAAAAAGTTTTTACCACCGACAGTGCCAACACAAAATATAACCCTGAAGTTCTCTAAGTTATTTGGATTGTACAAGGGACTAGTCTGAAAAGAAAAGCCTTTCATGCATAAATGCAGCCGTTACTATCTCAGGTTAAGGGTGTAATAGCCTCTGATTGTTTTCGAGTGAGTCAGTGTCTGTACTTTGGATTTTGAAAGGCTGTACACACTGGAAACCTCTCACCCTCAGGAACAAAGAGAGACGGCCCTGAAATCCACCTACACAAGTATTAAAGGATAACTTTGGGCATGTGTTAGTCTGTGGACATACGCACACTAATACAATTCCCACACTAACCCAACACTTTTTAATTTGTGTCTTATCCTGCTGTGATGACCTAGCCTCATGTCACTCGCAAGCCTCCAGGCTTCATTGCCTAAATTGGGCTGGAGTCAGAAGAAGTCCGTGTGTGTCATTGTTTGACTCCCTCTCTGGAGATTCTCCCTTTGTGGCGCCCCTGGGTTTCCTGTAGGAAGTCCACCTACATACAGTGTGTGTTGGGGGGGGGGGGTGCAGGAGAAGTGGATAGCGTGGAGGGGAGAACTGAGAGACAAAGATTCAGAGGAAAGCTACATCTGATGTCTGTACTCTCTGCACAAGCCTGCCGTCCTGAATGATGGCAGTTGCCGCAGGTGGCACTCCTTCTTCCCTTCGATAGCAGAAGTTATGACTAACTCCATACAACTTGTTGGTTCAGTTGGAAGCCCAGCAGTAAAGCAATGATGGTGCAAAGCGCTCAATGCATGCCTATCCTTTGTCATCCTTTAAAAGTGAAGAGAGATATGTAGTGTGGGATTTAAGATATTGTGTTTTATGGAACATTTCTTTATGATTTCCTACTGTGAAACATTTCAATAGGACCGCTTGGGCAGTCATTTTGTTTTATGCTAGATTTATAGGCTTCGTCATTGGGTATCAAGAGTCGGATTAGTTCAATTCTGAAAGCTCCTATAACGGCAACATCAGTGTGACTGAGATACTTTGTGGTTTGGGTGTTATCTAGGAAGACTAGCTGCACATGTAAGCTGCTCCGGTCAGGTGTAATATTACAATTTAGATTAAAATAACTAGCATCCTCACCTCAGCTCTCTTCCCCTTACTGTTTTGTAAACATTGTTACTCTAAGCAATAGGTTATGTGATTAATAACTACTACCCCTATTTACTTTCTCATTTCACTTTAACACATTAGCCGTAATAAG